TCAAGCAATTCTTCTGCCTCAGCTTCCTGAGTAGCTGGGACTACAGGTGTATGCCACCACGCCCAGCTAATTTTTTTGTAATTTTAGTAGACACGGAGTTTCACCTTATTGGCTGGGCTGGTCTCAAACTCCTGATCTCAAGTGATCCACAAGCCTTGGCCTGCCATAGTGCTGAGATTACAGGCATGAGCCACCAGATCTGGCTAATTTTTTTGTAATTTTAATAGAGATGGGGTTTCTCCACGTTGGTCAGGCTGGTATCGAACTGCTGACCTCAGGTGATCTGCCTGCCTCTGCCTTCCAAAGTGCTGGGATTACAGGCATGAGCCACCATGTCTGGCTTAAATTCTTTTTATTTGTATAGATTGAGGGAGTAAAAGCACACATTTACATGCCTGTATTGCAAGCTCCTGCCCAGCAAAATAAATAATCAACAGTAAACAGCCTATAGAATGGGAAAAGGAAAAAGTAGTTGCAAGCTATACATCTAACAAGAGCTCAAGTGATCCCCCACTTCAGGCAAGTAGCTGGGAGCACAGACAAGCACCACTATGCCTGGCTAATTTTCAAAATTTTTGTAGAGACCAGGTCTCACCATGTTGCCTAGGCTGGTCTTGAATTCCTGGACTCAAGCAATCCTCCTGCCTTGGCCTCTCAAAGTTCTGAGATTACAGGCATGAGGCACAGCAACTGGCTTTGCCCACTTTTTAATGGGGTTGTTCTTTTCTTCTTGAGTTGAGTTCTTTCTAGATTCTAGATATTAGCCCTTTGTTAGAAGTATAGCTTGCAACTATTTTTACCCATTCTGTAGACTGTTTACTGTTGATTGTATATTTTGCTGGGCAAGAGCTTTCAACATAGGCCAATAAATGTGCCCTTTTACTCCCTCAATCTATACAAATAAAAAGAATTTAACATTTCTGGAATGTTAAATCCTTTAAAATTTTAAGGATTTAACATTTTTGATATTGCAACTGAACTGTTGATCAAGTCTTGTAGCTTTTCTATGTCTGAAAAAGTCATTTTTTTTAAACAATATTTTTTGCCAGGTATAGAATTTTAGGTTAACTTTTTTCCTTTCAGTACTTTAAAGCAAGATACTTCTTGCTTGCAGTGTTCCTACTGAGCAATGTGATCGTTGTCTATACATAATATTTTTAAGTTTTTTGTTTTTAAGATTTTCACTTTATCACTGGCTTGACAATTCTGATTATGATATTGCTAGGCACAGTTTTTTCCATGTACCTGTGCCTTAAGTGGTTTGGGTATGGGCTTATCGTTTTTAGTTTGGAAAGTTTTCAGTTATTATTTTTTTCCACATCTCCTTCAGGGATTCCAATTTTCCATTTATTGGGCCCCTTATAGTCCCACAGCTCAGCCATGGTCTTTTCAAATATTTTTCTCCTTTTTCCCTCTCTGTGACTTACTTTGTGCAGTATATACTACTATGGCTTCAACTTTATTAATCTGCTATTAATTTTGATTAAGTGTATTTTTCATACTATACTTTGAAGTTTTTAATCTCTAAGAGTTTGATGTAGGTTTTTTTTTTTTTTTTTTCCACATTTCGACTTGACTTTTTGAACACATAGAATACAGTTATAATGACTGTTTTAATGTCTTTCTCTGATAATTTTTACATCTATGTAATTTCTGGGTTGATTTGATTCAATATCCTCCTCATTATGGGTCCTGTTTTCCTACTTCAAGCATGCCTTTAATATTTGATTAGCTACTAGACATTGTGACTTTTACCTTGTTGGGTGCTGGATATTTTGATATTTCTTAACATCTTTAGTCTTTTTTTGGGATGCTGTTAAATTACCTAAAAACATTTTGATCTTTTTTTTGGCTCTTGCTTTTCTAATTTGTTTGGCAGAATGGAGCTGTCTAGGCTAATTATATCCTACTATTAAAGGAAGGTCTTCCTGAGTACTCTTTGCAATACCCTGTGAATTAATGAGTTTCTCCAGTGTATTTGATGGGAACAGGCGCTATTGCTGGACCTATGTAAGTTTCAGACACACTTTTCTCTTACCTTTTCAGATGACTGTTCTCAGCCAAGACCATGTCTGCCCTGCAAGCACAGAACCTCGCCCTTGCTGCTCCACCGCCCATCCACACCTGCTGTCAGCTCACCATGGATGATGATATTGCCACGCTCATTGTTGACAGTGGCTCTGACATGTGCAAGTCAGGCTTCGTGGGTGACGATGCCCCCTGGGCTGTCTTCCCCTCCATTGTGGGGCACCCCAGGCACCAGGGCCTGATGATAGGCATGGGTCAGAAGGACTCCTATATAGGCGACGAGGGCCAGAGCAAGAGAGGCTTCCTAACCCTGAAGTAACCCATTGAGCATGGGCATGCATCAGAAGGACTCCTATGTGGAGGATGAGCCCCAGAGAAAGAGAGGCATCCTCACCCTGAAGTACCCCATCAGGCATGGCATCGTCACCAACTGGGATGACATGGAGAAGATCTGGTACCACACCTTCTACCACAAGCTGTGTGTGGCTCCCGAGGAGCACACTGTGCTGCTGACCAAGGCCCCCCTCAATCCCTAGGTCAACAGTGAGAAGATAACCCAGACCATGTTTGAAACCTTCAACACCCCAGCCAAATACATGGCCATCCGGGCTGCGTGCTGTTCCTGTATGCCTCTGGCTGTACCACTGGCATCCTGACGAACTCTGGTGATGGGGTCACCAACACTGTGCCCATCTATGAGGGGTATGCCCTCCCCTATGCCATCTTGCCTCTAGACCTGGCTGGCGGGGACCTGACTACCTCATGAAGATCCTCATCAAGTGCAGCTACACCTTTATCATCACGGCTGAATGGAAAACCATGCATGACATCAAGGAGAAGCTGTGCTAAATCGCCCTGGACTTTGAGCAGGAGATGGCCATGGTGGCTTCCAGCTCCTCCCTGGAGAAGAGCTATGAGCTGTATGATGGCCAGGTCATAACCACTGGCAATGAGCAGTTCTGCTGCCCCAAGGTACTCTTCCAGCCTTCCTTCTGGGCATGGAATCCTGTGGCATCTATGAAACTACCTCCAACTCCATCATGAAGTGTGACATGGACATCCGCAAAGACATGTATGTCAACACAGTGCTGTCTGGTGGCACCACCATGTACCCTGGCATCGCCAACAGGATGCAGAGGGAGATCACTGCCCTGGTGCCTAGAATGATGAAGATCAAGATCATTGCTCCTTCCCAGTGCAAGTTTTCTGTGTGGATCAGCAGCTCCATCCTGGCCTTGCTTTCCATTTCCCAGCAGATGTGCATCAGCAAGCAGGAGTATGACAAGTCTGGCCCCTCCATCACCCACGGTAATGCTTCTAGGTGGACTGTGACTTACTTGCATTATGCTCTTTTAGATGACTGTTTTGTTGGTTTGGGATAATTTCCTCATATGTATATGCTGATTAGTATTCTGAAGAATACTCAAGGGGTAGATTCTGTAGATATCTGGGCTTCTCTCTCTTTGCAGCTCTCTTTACCTGGTACTCTGTTCTATGAAATCTAGCTCCCTTTGTTTTCCCAGACTCTTAGTGCCATCTCCTCAACTCAAGGATTCCAAAGAGCTCTTCTCTGTTCTCGTCCTAGAAATTCTTTCAAGGCAGTAAGCTGCTGTAATTATAGGGCTCGCTTTGTTCCCTCTCAGAGATTATTGTTCTTTGTTGTCTGATGTCCAGAGTCTTGAAAACAATTGTTTCATAAATTTTATCTGTCTATGTTTGTTTCTTTTTCTGGTTGTTTCAGGCAGGAAGTAAATCCAGTCCCTGTTACTCTATCTTGGCCAGAAACAGATGTAGAACTTTTTCCACTGTCTACCTCTTTACAGTAATCACAGAGGGCCTGACAGGGAAGGGTGGTCTTTTCCTCCTCCCTTTCTCCACAGACTACATTGGTTTTAGGTCCCTAAATTCAGATTAACAGGAGGGGAAAGTAAGAGGGCTTACTTACACTTCCTAAACTAAGCTTTGTTATCCAATTCAGGTTTTACCATTGCTATGTTCCAGTGGTTACCAGATACATGCTCAGCTATTAATATATTTGTACTTCATTTTCATTTGTATAGTGGTATTTGTTTGTTTGTTACAAAAACCCCTTTGATTCTGGGAGTTCTGGAGAAAAGGGTGAATGATAGGACTGCCTAAATATCACTTCAAACCTCTAACATCAGTCATCCAGAACCTTCAAATTTTAGAAGTGTGTGTGTGTGTCACACAATCACAATAAAACTTGTATTACTAAGATACACTATGAATTGTTGGTTCAAATGAGAGAATAATTCTGATGGACTGACATGTATAAACTGCCAACTTTCTCCATAAAATTACAGAAGTGTGGAAGCATAGTAGAAGCAGTAAGAGAAAAGAAAGAAGAGGTGATCAGCAAAAGTGTAGGTGATTAAAATTAATGACAGGAGTGGATCAGTTACTCTCAAGGCAGAAAGGGAAATGACCTTTGAAGACACATAGGAGTAGGTGGTCAAGAACTTAGGTGGGAGAAGGAATAACACGTGATCTGCAATACTGTGGTCATAGAATGTCAAAGATATGGACCTTTCTATTGGGATAAAGGTGCTAGCAGTATTATTGTCATAAGATCATAAGAGGTAAATAGTCAAATGTGCTATCTTATTGGCTTCTGGAGGTACATTAGTATTCCAACAAATGTAAGAATGAATAATCATTGATTGATAGTTAAATATACTTTCTGGAAGGTTAAAAATAGTCCAAGTTTTACTATACTATTGCAAAAGAACCAATGAACAAGTTTTATTGATATAGTAGGAAAATAACTGATTTAAAGCAGAGTCTCCTTCACCACTGACTACACTTCTATAGCCACGTAACTATAACAAGACATACCATTTAAAGCCATTGTATTACCTTATACCAGCAATAAAAGTGAGAGACACTGTTTTGTTGATCAATGTCAAGCTCTGGAATAATGTAATACTGGTAGGGCACAGAAGCCTACATACCGAATGTCTTCTGACATAGTCATCTACTTGTTGCTTCAGTTCAATTCGGCGTGCATCAGTGAGTTCTTGGAGTCCTTGCCAAGGAACAAATAGTTTCTTTTTCTTACGGCACTTTGCTAGGAATTTAAGCGCCTGGAGGAAAAAAAAAAATTGAAGGCTTGTGATTTTTCTCCCCTAACTAATAAAACTATTTTCTCACTACAATATATGGTAGTGACCAAATTGCAACGCTGATTAATTCTGAGTGTATGTAAGGAGGGGAATGGGACTGTGACAAGATGCAGGAGAACAGTGACTTTTAAAATATATAGTCTTCTATAGATACTACAAGGATATGTTCATGTATTATTTGAATACATTATATAGTCTATACAAGACTATACAATATATATAACAAGGATATGTTCATGTATTATTTGTGCAGTAAGTAATAAAGAGAAAAAAAAAGTAATGGATTCTAGTCTCAATTATAGGCCCTTATAAACTATGACTCTGGGCAAATCACTTGATCTCTAGAGGACCGGTTCTATGTCTATAGAAAACAGGGACCTTAGTCCTACACGGCTTACAGGATTGTAAATACCAAGGAGACAGTATTTCTGTCTGAATTCTTTCTGATGTCCCTCAGAATGGACTCTGGTAAAAAGAAACCTTGTAATAGGTAAGGGGGTTTTCTTTTAGAAAGCTAAGTGTCTTGACCAATGCTTTACCACAGGTAATAAGCAAAGTCACATTTGAACTCATGTTTTTGCCTCTTCATTCAGAGCTCTTTTTTTACTACATTGGACTCACTGCTCTTTGAAGTGTGACAGCTGCTTTATACTCTGTGAGAGACTGCCTCTGTTGGCGAAAATTTTTCCTTTCCCTGTACCCTCTCCAATGTTTCTGGATAATCAATGCTGATTTCTCTTCCATTTCCCGATTGTGTTTCTCCACCTGACCTAAAAAGATGATAAACACTATTACAATATACTCACTGCTATGCTTTCTTATGTTTTGGAATCAGAACAATGCTAATAGTAATCTTGCATTCTTTTCATCTTTGTCAATATTGTTTACTAATTTTCCCAATTCTATTATTTTACAATGGTTCTAAGATTTTAGAAACAATACTTTCCCAGATTATGCAGCTTCTTTAGAGAAAGAACTCATATAATATTTTTGTGGTAATGAGCAAATGGCTGAAAATCCAACACTAAGAACATTTGAAAAAAAAGAATCATAAGTACATGGTTATGAAGTCATTCAGTACCACCAGAGGGAAAGGGCAAAATGTGTGTATGTATTCTCTAGTCTACGTGCTTCCAAATTTCTCTTAAGTCACTGAGTCAGTTATACAGATGACTTTCTTTTTGCTTTCTTGGAGTTGTTCAGTATACATCCCAGGGTTCATAGTACATACGTGACAGACTAAGGTAGCAAAATTGTTAATAAAACGAGGGGTGTATCTGAGGGAGTAAAAGAAACTGACAGAATTTAATGATCGATTGGATATAGAGGTAAAAGAGGGAAAGGACTCTAGGATTTCTCAAATGGGAAAACTGAGTAAGTTCTTGGTGCCATTACCTGAGATGATGAATAGAGGAAAAGGAAATCTGATGGGTAAGATGACTTTGGTGTTTGGGATGCCTGTGGATATTCAGGTAAAGCTGGATCCAATAAGCAGCTGGCTACAGAGCTGTGTTATTCAATACAGTAGACACTATCCACAACTGGCTACTTGGGTTAAAATAAAGTAAAATTAAAATTCAGGTTCTTCAGTGCTCTAGCCACATTTCAAATACTCAGTAGCCATCTCTAGCCATTGGCTACCATACTGGATGGTACAGATATACAACATTTCATTTTTGTAAAAAGTTCTATTGGGCAATTCTGCTCTAAGAGGTTAGGAGAGAAGGTGAAGATAGAGACCAGATTTGAAACTGCTCAGCACTCAGCTGAGAGTTGAGCTAGTTATGGATGGATACCACAGGAAGAGCAAAATGAAAGGAATGGAACCTTAGAAAATATCTGTATTTAATGGAGATGAAGTAAAATAAAGGGCTAGTGAAGGACTCTGGGACTGAATAACAAGAAGAGAGGTAGAAAGAATTTAAAAGAATATTGAGGGAATGCTGGGAAGATGGCCGCCTAAGAACAGCTCAGGACTTCAGCTCCCAGTGAAAGTGCAGAGGGTGAGTGGACGCCGCATTTCCAGACGAACTCTTATTGCCCACAGACCAGGAGATACCCAGGCAGAGGGGTCACCAGTGTAGCAATCCCAGCTGGTGCGGCTGTTTTGGCCCCCGCGGGGCTGATTCCGCCCGAGTGGCTGCTGTGACCACGCCCTGTTGCTGCGGTTCTCCGTACAAAAGCCACTGGTCTGGGAGCCCTCTTAGCTGGCGATCAGAGCCCTGAGACGGCAGAGTTGCCCATTCAGCTGAAATAGCGAGCCAGGCCAGGAGATTCCTAGGCAAAAAATCCGCCAAGAGCCGGCGCCGCAGTTCGAACCGACTCCGTGAGTCGCAGCACAGGAGATCCCCGCGCCTTTTCAACAAGTGACCGGAAAGCGGGGTTGTTCAACTTAAAAGAAAAGACTCTGAGTCAGGGAGCCAGGTGATCAGGCTCGGTTGGTCCCATCCCTCCACCCCCAACAACGACGAAAACAAAAACAGTAATTGGAAACCCTCTGGGTTGAGCCCTTCAAACCAAGCACAGCTGAACCAGGACTGTCCGGCTCGGTGGGGGAGGGGCTTCCGCCATTACTGAGACTCTCCACCGCTATGGAGGCAGGCTGCCGTTGCCGAGGCAACCCGCCACAATAGAGAGAGTCCGCCATAACAGAGGCAGGGCCACTGTTGCCGAGAGAGTTCTAACTACGCCCATATAAACAGGACTGCAGGGAAGAGCTCAGGGCAGCTGGGCGGAGCCCACAGCAGCTCAGCAAAGCCCCTGCGGGCAGGCAGTGGCTAGGCGTGCTGCTAGCTGGGCGGGTCAGACCCGAAAGAAAAATCAAAAAAGGCAGTAGTGCAACGGAAACTCATAAAGCTCCAACTCCCTGGGACAGAGACAGACAACAGGTGGATAAACCCACAAAAATGGGAAGAAACCAGCGCAAAAAGGATGAAAACTCCTGAAACCAGAACACCTCTCCTCCTAAAAGGGATCACAACTCCTCACCAGCAAGGGAACCAGACCGGATGGAGAAGGAGGGTGATGACAGAATCAGACTTCAGAAGGTGGGTAGTAAGAAACTACAGTGAGCTAAAAGAACATGTTCTAACCGAACGCAAAGAAAAAAGGAACCTTGAAAAAAGATTGGACGAACTGCTGACGAGAATGGACAGCATAGAGAGGAGTATAAGTTAATTGATGGAGCTGAAAAACGCAACACGAGAACTTCGTGAAGCATGCACAAGCTTCAGCAGCCGAATTGAGCAAGCAGAAGAAAGGATATCAGAGGTCGAAGATCAACTCAATGAAATAAAAAGAGAAGGCAAGAACAGAGAAAAAAGCGCAAAAAGGAATGAACAAAATCTTCAAGGAATGTGGGACTATGTGAAAAGACCTAATCTACGTCTGATAGGTGTACCTGAATGTGATGAAGAGAATGAATCCAAGCTGGAAAATACTCTTCAGGATATTATCCAGGAAAACTTCCCCAACCTAGCAAGGCAGACCAATATTCAAATCCAGGAAATACAGAGAACACCACAAAGATATTCCTCAAGAAGAGCAACCCCAAGGCACATAATTGTCAGATTCACCAGGGTTGAAATGAAAGAGAAAATGCTAAGGGCAGCCAGAGAGAAAGGTCGGGTTACCCACAAAGGGAAGCCCATTAGACTCACAGCAGATCTCTCAGCAGAAACCCTACAAGCCAGAAGAGAACTGGGGGCCAATATTCAACATCCTTAAAGAAAAGAACTTTCAACCCAGAATCTCCTATCCAGCCAAACTAAGCTTCATAAGTGAAGGAAAAATAAAATCCTTTGTGAACAAGCAAGCACTCAGAGATTTCATCACTACCAAACCTGCTCTACAAGAACTCCTGAAAGAGGCTCTACACATATAAAGGAACAACCAGTACCAGCCACTCCAAAAACACACCAAATGGTAAAAGAGCATCAACACAATCAAGAAGCTGCATCAACTAACCAAAAAAACAGCCAGGTAGCATCAAAATGACAGCATCAAATTCACACATAACAATACTATCCCTAAATGTCAATGGACTAAATGCCCCAATCAAAAGACACAGATTGGCAAATTGGATAAAAAGCCAAAACCCATCAGTGTGCTGTATCCAGGAAACCCATCTTACATGCAAGGATACACAAAGGCTCAAAATAAAGGGATGGAGGAAGATCTACCAAGCAAATGGAGAGCAAAAAAAAGCAGGAGTTGCAATTCTCATCTCTGATAAAATAGACTTTAAAGCAACAAGGATCAAAAGAGACAAAGAAGGACATTACATAATGGTAAAAGGATCACTGCAACAAGAAGAGCTAAAGATCCTAAATATATACACACCCAATACAGGAGCACCCAGATACATAAGGCAAGTTCTTAATGACTTACAAAGAGACTTAGACTCCCACACAATAATAGTGGGAGACTTTAACACCCCATTGTCAATATTAGACAGATCAACCAGACAGAAAATCAACAAGGATATCCAGGACCTGAATACAGACCTGGAACAAGCAAACCTAATAGATATTTACAGAACTCTCTACCCCAAATCCACAGAATATACATTCTTCTCAGCACCACATCACACCTACTCTAAAACTGACCACATAATTGGCAATAAATCACTCCTCAGCAAATGCAAAAGAACAGAAATCATAACAAACAGTCTCTCAGACCACAGTGCAATCGAGTTAGAACTCAGAATGCAGAAACTAACTCAGAACCGCACAGCTTCATGGAAACTGAACAACTTGCTCTTGAATGTTGACTGGATAAACAATGAAATGAAGGCAGAAATAAAGATGTTCTTCGAAACCAATGAGAACGAAGACACAACATACCAGAATCTCTGGGACACATTTAAAGCAGTCTCTAGAGGAAAATATACAGCAATGAGTGCCCACATGAGAAGAAAGGAGAGATCTAAAATTGACATCCTATCATCAAAATTGAAAGAGCTAGAGGAGCAAGATCAAAAAAACTCAAAACCTAGCAGAAGACAGGAAATAACTAAGATCAGAGCAGAACTGAAGGAAATAGAGACACAAAAAACTCTTCAAAAAATCAATAAATCCAGGAGCTGGTTTTTTGAAAAGATCAACAAAATAGACAGACCACTAGCCAAATTAATAAAAAAGAAAAGAGAGAATAACCAAATTGATGCAATAAAAAACGATAAAGGGGATATCACCACAGATTCCACAGAAATCCAAACCATCATCAGAGATTATTACAAACAACTCTATGCACATAAACTAGTAAACCTGGAAGAAATGGATAAATTCCTGGACACCTGCATCCTCCCAAGCCTAAACCTGGAAGAAGCCAAAACCCTGAATAGACCAATAATATGGTCTGAAGTTGAGGCAGCAATAAAGAGCCTACCACCCAAAGACAAAAACCACATGATTATCTCAATTGATGCAGAGAAGGCTTTTGACAAAATTCAAGAGCGCTTTATGCGAAAAACCCTCAATAAACTAGGTATTGATGGAACGTATCTCCAAACAATAAAAGTTATTTACGACAAACCAACAGCCAATATCATACTGAATGGGCAAAAACTGGAAGCACTCCCTTTGAAATCTGGCACTAGACAAGGATGCCCTCTCTCACCACTCCTATTCAATATAGTACTGGAAGTTCTAGCCAGAGCAATCAGGCAAGAAAAAGAAATAAAGGGTATCCAAATTGGAAAGGAGGAAATCAAATTGTCTCTATTTGCAGATGACATGATTGTATATCTGGAAGACCCCATCATCTCAGCCCAAAATCTCCTGAAACTGATAAACAACTTCAGCAAAGTCTCAGGATACAAAATCAACGTGCAAAAATCACAAGCATTCCTGTACACCAGTAACAGACTTCAAGAGAGCCAAATCAAGAACGAACTGCCATTCACAATTGCCACAAAGAGAATAAAATACCTAGGAATACAACTAACAAGGAACGTAAAGGACCTCTTCAAGGAGAACTACAAGCCATTGCTCAACGAAATAAGAGAGGATACAAACAGATGGAGAAACATTCCATGTTCATGGTTAGGAAGAATCAACATCGTGAAAATGGCCATACTGCCCAAAGTAATTTACAGATTCAACGCTATTCTCATCAAGCTACCAATGACCTTCTTCACAGAACTGGAAAAAAACACCTTAAACTTCATATGGAACCAAAAGAGAGCCCGCATAGTCAAGTCAATTCTAAGCAAAAAAAACAAAGCAGGAGGCATCACACTACCGGACTTCAAACTATACTACAAGGCTACAGTAATCAAAACAGCATGGTACTGGTACCAAAACAGAGATATAGACCAATGGAACAGAACAGAGGCCTCAGAGGAAATACAACATACCCACAACCATCTGATCTTCGACAAACCTGACAAAAACAAGCAATGGGGAAAGGACTCCCTGTTTAATAAATGGTGTTGGGAAAACTGGCTAGCCATGTGCAGAAAGCAGAAACAGGACCCCTTCCTGACACCTTACACCAAAATTAACTCCAGATGGATTAAAGACTTAAACATCAGACCTAACACCATAAAAACCCTAGAAGAAAATCTAGGCAAAACCATTCAGGACATAGGTGTAGGCAACGACTTCATGACCAAAATGCCAAAAGCAATGGCAACAAAAGCCAAAATAGACAAATGGGACCTAATCAAACTCCACAGCTTCTGCACGGCAAAAGAAACAGTCAGTAGAGTGAATCGGCAACCAACAGAATGGGAAAAAATTTTTGCAGCCTACCCATCTGACAAGGGGCTGATATCCAGAATTTACAAAGAACTAAAGCAGATCTACAAGAAAAAAACAAACAAGCCCATTCAAAAATGGGCAAAGGATAAGAACACATACTTTACAAAACAAGACATACAGGAGGCCAACAAACATATGAAAAAATGCTCATCATCACTGGTCATCAGACAAATGCAAATCAAAACCACATTGAGATACCATCTCACACCAGTTAGAATGGCGATTATTAAAAAATCAGGAAACAACAAATGCTGGAGAGGATGTGGAGAAATAGGAACACTTTTACACTGTTGGTGGGAATGTAAATTAATTCAACCATTGTGGAAGACAGTGTGGCGATTCCTCAAGGACCTAAAAATAGAAATCCCATTTGACCCAGCAATCCCATTACTGGGTATATATCCAAAGGATTATAAATCATTCTACTACAAGGACACGTGCACACGAATGTTCATTGCTGCACTGTTTACAATAGCAAAGACCTGGAACCAACCCAAATGCCCAACGATGATAGACTGGATAGGGAAAATGTGGTACATATACACCATGGACTATTACGCAGCCATCAAAAACGATGAGTTCACGTCCTTTGTAGGGACATGGATGAACCTGGAAACCATCATTCTCAGCAAACTGACACAAGAGCAGAAAATCAAACACCGTATATTCTCACTCATAGGCGGGTGTTGAACAATGAGAACACATGGACACAGGGAGGGGAGCACTACACACTGGGGTCCGTTGGGGGGAAATGGGGGAGGGGCAGGGGGGTGGGGAGGTGGGAAGAGATAGCATGGGGAGAAATGACAGATACAGGTGAGGGGACGGAAGGCAACAAACCACACTGCCATGTGTGTACCTATGCAACAATCTTGCATGTTCATCACATGTACCCCCAAACCTAAAATGCAATTAAAAAAAAAAAAAAAAAAAAGAATATTGAAACCACTAAGAGCTCCCAGACCACACCTTATTATTAATTTCAGCTTTCTTTCAAAGGCGGCAAGAAGATGTCACAATGTTTGTATTAAGGAATAAGTTAAGTTCTGATGGCAGAATATAATAATATTCCAACTCCTTATTTCAATTCAAGTTTCTTTGTGTCTCTAACAGCTATCTTTATGCATACATTTTTGTGTTTCTCTAATTTATCTGAATGATAAGAAAAGAAAACTGGTGGGGAGATTGTTCATCATCAATGAATAGGTCTGAATCAGAAAAAAAAGTAACTGTTTTTGAAGTCAGAAGATTTAATAAAATTTATCTGAAAAATAGACAAAAAGGACAAAAGTCCAAATTTTTAAAAAATCATCATGTAGCTAGAAAACTTGGTTTGTTAAAAGATAAGCTAAATATTCTTATATTTATAATGTAATACTGCCACTCACCTGGATGAACTATTTCCAGCATACTCAGCCGCAATTCTCGTGAAAGTCTCATGGCTCTCTGTCTTTGAAGTTGCAATTGTAATCTGAGGTCCTCTTCTTCCTTCTTCCTACTTATCTCCAGCAACATCTTTGTTCGTTTAGATCTGTGATATAAATAGTGTATTATACATAATTTTCATAAATCATATGTTTAAAAAATGTATGAAAAAATATATAACCTCACTAGTAATCAAATAAATGTAAAAAGATAATTTTATAAAAAAGGTAATTTCTAGTGTCACTAAGATACGATAAAATAGTTTGTCACCTGCTGCTGTTGTACAACCTTTCTGGAGAACTATTTGGATACATGCATTAAAAGTCTGGAAAAATATTTGAAGTATATAAATCAAAAGCCTTAAAAATGATGACCAATTAATTCCATTAGAAATAATTTTCTTAAAGAAATAATCAGATATATACGTACAAATTTATGTTAAAAAATGTTCTCCACAGTATTACAACAGTAACAAGTTGAAAACAAACTTTCCGTCTCACAACAGGGAGTTAGATAAATCGATACTGGTTCATTCACCTGATGGGATAGGATGCTATAAACTGTGAAAAAACAATATGTTCAAAGAATATTTAGTGACATGAGAATACACCGATGATCTAATGTCAGGTTAAAAAGAAAATCAGGATATAGAAGAATGATATCCAAATTGTGTCAAAAAATTTATATTTACTTACACAGAAAAATAAATAATTAAACAACATTAAAATTTCAAGTGATTTTTACTGTATAATGTGATTACAGTTGGTCTTTATTTTCTTCTTCTGCCTACTTCTCAATTACTGACAACTGAACATTACTTTTCTAACTGGTTATGAAAATTTTCATGTGGCCACAAACATATAATTATCATTTCCATATTACCTGTTTTTATTCATCAAAATTTCTCCTTAGCCATTCCTAATTTTTGTTGCTTCCAATATCACTATGTAAGGAGACTACAAGTGGTCAGTTTACAGTAAATATACTCAAGATGCTTTCAGATATCCATAGAGAAAGAAAACAAGAATAAGAAGAGAGGCAGAGTAAACAACTTAAGTTTAACTGTATAAATTTAATTTTTTATGTGTCCCTCAAGAACATTTTCTTTTAGATCTTTTTCTTAGAATTAAATGTAAACAAATGTGGTACCTTGACTATAACTCTGTACTCTTTTTTTTTTTTTTTTTTTTTTTTTGAGATGGAGTTTGGCTCTTGTTACCCAGGCTGGAGTGCAATGGCGCGATCTCGGCTCACCACAACCTCCGCCTCCTGGGTTCAGGCAATTCTCTTGCCTCAGCCTCCTGAGTAGCTGGGATTACAGGCACACGCCACCATGCCCAGCTAATTTTTTGTATTTTTAGTAGAGACGGGGTTTCACCATGTTGACCAGGATGGTCTTGATCTCTCGACCTCGTGATCCACTCGCCTCGGCCTCCCAAAGTGCTGGGATTAGAGGCTTGAGCCACTGCGCCCGGCCAACTCTGTACTCTTAAAAGCCAGAAGTCAGCCGGGCGCGGTGGCTCAGCCTGTAATCCCAGCACTTTGGGAGGCCGAGGCGGGTGGATCACGAGGTCAAGAGATCGAGACCATCCCGGTCAACATGGTGAAACCCCGTCTCTACTAAAAATACAAAAAATTAGCTGGGCATGGTGGCGTGTGCCTGTAATCCCAGCTACTCAGGAGGCTGAGGCAGGAGAATTGCCTGAACCCAGGAGGCGGAGGTTGCGATGAGCCGAGATCGCGCCATTGCACTCCAGCCTGGGGTAACAAGAGCCAAACTCCGTCTCAAAAAAAAAAAAAAAAAAAAAAAAAAAAAAGCCAGACGTCATTATAGTATAGTTAGAGAGGATTATGATGATTTTCAACTCAAAATAGTTTATTTTGATACAATTTTGTAATTATTTTGATTAAATTGTTTTGATAAAATTTTGTATTTGTGGTTGTTTCTCAAAAATTCTTAACTTTCATCAATTACAACTTAAATTTTCTCTAGCTTTCTACTTAGGACAGAGTAGAGGATTTATTTGTTTTGAAACTTCTTTCTTAACCGTATTATCAAAAGTAGAGAAGACCTCAAAAGTGTAGGTGTATCAAAAGGTTCTAGAGAAGATGTAGGGCTAGTTGAATAGATCTAAGTGTCTCTTGCTCTTTCTCTTTGTGAAAGTTGGAAATGAAGTAGGTAAGGGCCTCTCCCTTCCCAAAGAATAGCTGATAGCAACTTGCCTCTTCTACAGAACTTCTTCACCTCAAAACTTCTGGGTTATATAGCATGCAGATAATAATGTTTTATCTTTTACCCATTCACAGAGGGTAAAAGAGAGCAGGCTCTAAGCAGAGTCTCCTTTCAAACTGTTTTTTTAAAAAACTACCTCTGGCTAGGCACGGTGATTCACACCTGCAATTCCAGTACTTTGGGAGGCCAAGGTGTGTGGATCACCTGATTTCAGGAGTTAGAGACCAGCCTGGCCAACATGGTAAAACCCCATCTCTACTAAAAATACAAAAATTAGCCAGGTGTAGTGGTGTGTGTCTGTACTCCCAGCTACTTAGGAGGCTGAGGAAGGAGAATTGCTTGAACCTGAGACCTGGAGGTTGCTGAGATCACACCACTGCACTCCAGCCTGGGTGAAAGAGTGAGATTCTGCCTCAAAAGAACAAACAGTAATACCAAAAAACTACCTTTGTTTCTAACTTCTAATTGGTTATAGATTATAATGTCCAGCGCTACATTTTCAATATTTTAAATATACTATTAATATGGAAAACAGAGTAATCATTAAAATTGCATTGCTAGAATATTTAATCTGTCAGAAAACCGGGTTTGGGAAACAATTTAGGCATGTAGGCTATGAAATATGGGAAAAATGAAAAGACTATGGAGCATGAAGGTGAAGGTAAAATACAAATCAGAAAGACAGGATAAAAGTGAGGTTTGGTGATTTAAATACTGACTAAATTGTAAACAGGTGTGCTTATTGGATTCATATGTTTTATTTTCATGTTCAAAAACATTTATTAGGAACTGATGTGATTGTGAATGTAATTCCCCTATTTATTATTAAATAACATCTAGTTAATTTTGTTAAGAGTTTCTATAATCACTAAAAAATTAAAGGATTATTCTTCCAACTGGTTACTCTGTAAGAATTAGCAGGAACTGGATCATCTGGCATGTGTATTATACTCCTGAAAATGAAATGACTGATCAGATATCATATTCTGAAAATAAGTAAATTCCATGATTCACATTTGATAATATGAATTTTAACCATTAAAGTGGGAGTTGACCAAACTTTCTGCTGCCAAAACACTGTGCTTCAGAGAGAGAGAGAGAAAAAGATACTACTGCATTTAAGAAACTCAGTTTCAGGGGGAAATCAACAAATGTAATTAAAATACTTAAAAATCAGCACTATGACAGAGGTAGGTAAATTGTGAGGTTTCTCTAAGATAACTAGATCAGCTGTTAGCTGCTTCAGAAAATCTAACTGAAGAAGAGTGGTTAAGAGACCATAAAGTTTCTAAATATGAGAAATGACTAAATAAAAAAGAAACCACTATGAAAGTGTGTTAGCAAGGGTGTGACTATAAAAGAATGCCTCTTGCTGAATCTAAAACACACTAATCAATAATGGACCCATAAGCATGACTGGTGGGCAGTCCCTCTCCCAAAACCATGGGAGGGGCAAATTACTGAGATAAGACCTGAGCACAAAAAGACAGAAATAACCTTTGAAAAAAAGCCAAGCTACAAAGGAAGCAAGAGACATTTGCATGAACTGTAACAACTAATAGAAGAGGGAAGGTGCTGAACTGGAGCAAACTGAAAATTAAAAAATTAAATAGAATCCAACAGGTTAGAACTGCATTTCAGTATATTCTGGGACCTGAAATGCAAAATACTGGAAAGGCAACAAACAAACTGTGAGACTTAAATCATTTTTGCTTCACAGCTTATCTTTTTTAATGGAAGTATTTATAATTCTTCTTGTCACATAAAGAAAGCAATGGAATTTCTATTTTAAAATAATGGAATATTAGATTCCACAGTTACACTTCTAAGTAGAAAAAATCTGTAATCCTGGGCTACTTTTAAATAAAGATTTTAATATAGAAAGAGTATACAAACAAATTTGGCAACTATTGTGGGACTAAACATTAGAGCTGTGAATCCATGTATAGGGTTACCTTTAAATTTAAGATGACAGATAACTAAGAATGAAAGCAGGTAGAATCCTTAAGTAATACCTACTCTTTCTGGATTCACCACAGAAGGCAATACCAAGAGCAACTTAAATGCTTTGGGTAGAAAATATACACTGTGACTCAAAAAGTACTCAGTATTTCTTAAATTTATCTAACTACAGAAATCCTTAAAAAAAAAAAAAACCCAGCTTGTAAGATAGGGAATAAACTTTGAGTAATAATAGATGGATAATACTTGCATCTCATTAGTACTATCTATTTAATGCATGTATATGTCTAGCTAAATTTGTGTATTTTCAAAGACTGAAAGTGTACCATGTGCATTTTTCCTCCTACCATCTTCTAAGAAATATGCTAAAAACTTCGTATTATCTGAAATTTTACATTATATTGATAATACAAGTGTATGAACTATTATTCTCATTTTATAGACTGGAAGTTTGAAGCTAAGAGAGTTTGGGCATTGTTCAAGTTCACTCAGCCAATAAATTGCTGAAGTGAGATACAAACTTGAATCTGTTAAACTGTCAGGGGATGGATCACCTGGTATATACTAGGCACTTGATATATATTTAAAAACTAATTCTTTACTAATTCTTTTCTTTGCTACCAACAATATTCACACCCAGAGTGATTTTAATATCTCCAACCCTGTGACTACATGGTACATTGAACTATTTTTAAATGTTTTTTTTTTAAAAACAAAGCTATTTTTAAATGTTTTTATAACTGAAAAATGCATCTGCAGTTATTAAAAGAAGTTTCAGTTTTCTTTAAAAAATAGACTTCTGTAAAATGCTGGTTTTATTTTAGTGAACTAAAGCTTGGCTTTAAGTTAGGCTGCATGAAAAAGTCACCTCTGAAACAGTTCTTCTTTATCATACATAATCTAGAAGCTGAGTCATTTTTTGTTGTTCTGTCACCTCTGAGAATCTGGATTGGTTAATCATTTCAGAAAGTGAGCTATGTTTTCAGTATTTACTTTTCTGTCTACTTGAAATAAATGACAAACTATATCATAACGCAATGACCATATTCATCCATGCCATATTTATTCAGGAAAATAGTTAACATACTTAAATTCGTATCTATGCATATGCTATTTTATAATTATATAAACACAATTATGATAACTGCTGCTTTGAGGGTTTAATAATATAACTATCACTGGCTCCCTCTGTAGGCTTGGCTCCCATAAATATCTTCTTAAGTGGATAAAATTGTATATTTGATACATCAGATTCCTGTGTTATGTCCTTTGCTTTGAAAGTACATCTGGTTATTGGAGTATTGGAAACGTATGGGGAAAAAAATTGAAAAGATAAAAGAAACAAACTAGGAAATTAAAAAAAAAATCACCTGAATTTCAATTCAACTATACTTTAGTAAGGTTCTTTGATCATCAATCCCCTCACCAAATTTTTTTTACCTGAAACTTCTCTGCAAAGCAATCACAGCAGATGGAAGCTTCTTTAATCTCTTTCTTGTCTGAAAACCCTTCCAATAGGCTTGAATCAAGCATGCTGCTTGATGTAGTTTCTGAAATTAAAAATAATTTAGAGATATATCTAGGAAGGTCTTTTTTTTTTAAGTTTACCTCTTAAAGTATCAGGTCAAGGCAAGTATTAATCTCCAGCTCTAACAAGATGGGTAAGAATATTAAACCTTACCTCCCAAAGGAGGTATGTTAGGCTTAGTAAGGCAATTTCTAGAACATATTAAATATATATCTAGTTAGCTCCAAATTCTCTCTGAATAATCTCACTTCCATTTCCTTTTCAAAGATTTCACAGTTCTGCCTGACCTTTCATAATCCTTTTTGAGATAACATGTTAATGTTTTTATTTAATAGGCAATCAACCTAGTTAGGTTCAAACTATAAGCTCTGTTGATCCTTGTGGATGGTTGCTTGAATCTCTGCTTAGTTCTGTAAGCCTTTGGAATGCTAGCCTCCTGACAGACCATTGGGCTTAAAAGGCCAACAAACTGTCTAAGTTCTAGACTGAATTCTGTCCCAGTTTCCTGTTTACTTAGTAGACTTCTGAGTCCTGAAATGGAATAGCAAAGGGTACAACTATTAATAATAAAATATAATTTTATGATTTTGTTACCTAATCAATATGAATTTGAGCACATGTATAATTTTGAGATTAACCTAAATTCTTGCTGGTTCATATATACATGAAAAAAGAAATTCCCTTCTTCTGTACTCTTTCTTCCAGGCTCTCCAATTCACTGCCCTGCCTTACCAGACTTCTTTTCATGGTTTCTGCTTGTATTTTTAAATTTATTGCCCTTTTGGTTTTGGATATACAATGTCACCCTTTCCTTTTCAATTAAAAAGTATCTTTAGTCATTTTAGATGTTTTCCATATTTGAGTCTTTATCTGGAAATCAGAAAGGTATATGCCTCTTCCTATTGGACTGGGCTATTTAAAGCCATCATTTTGAGTATACTAGAGGAAGTATGATGAAATAATCAATAACTTGCTGCCTCAAATTTCTAAATGTTTTTTATTAATAGTATTTCTTACACAAAGGAAAGGCATCATTGTTGTATCTCAAAGAACAAGAAGGGTAGCCATAGGCGATCATAAATATAGTTTGCTACAATCAGAGATTTTTTGGAAAAAGAAATTTAAAAGTTTAAATAGCTTATAGATAAAAGAAGATAAACATCAGAGATGGGGCTTTCATGAGAAATGCTGAATAAAACTGATGTGGCAGTATCTATAAGCAGATGTAAATGGGAGACTGAAATTACATTTTAGGGCAGGCTGAATAGCAGAGAGATACAATTTTGTAAAATTATATTTTAAAGATGGGGTTTTACTATGTTGACCAGGCTGGGCTGCAGTGGCTATTCACGGGTGTGATCATAGGGGAGTCTCCAATTCCTGGACTCAAGCAGTCCTCTTGCCTCAACCTGCTGAGTAAAAATTTTGAAGATATTTCTATTTTGGGGGTATTTTGCTTGAAGTTTTAAGAGAAAGTAAGTGAAGAATATTGAAGGAAAACTAAGGTTTAATACAGTCAGCAAATATCATGCAAGTTTTTTTTTTGGTAACTTAATACCTGCTCTTCTACTTCCTGATAGACCGTTGGGCTTAAAAGGCTTACGAGCTGTCTAAGTTCTTTACTGACTTCTGTCCCAGTTTCCTGTTTACTTAGTAGACGTCTGAGTCCTGAAATGGAATAGCAAAGGGTACAACTATTATTATAATAATAAAATATGATTTTGTTATCTAATCAGTATTAATTTGAGGCTAAAAAGTCTGGCTTAAAAACAAATGAAAACAAGATTAATCACATGATTTTTCATTTACCTTTTCTCACAGACTTCTAGGTTGAGGGGGATAGAATAACAGTGGTAAATCAAAAAGTAGAGATAGTTTTTTTTCTTTGTTTGAACATAAGTGTCTTAAATAGAAACATTGTAAAGATAATTACTATAAACACATATTCAGTAAATGCTTGCCCTGTGGAAGCATTTATGCAGATTATTATGAGTCACTATTAACTGAGAAATATTACTATTAGGTGAAGTGCTATAACACTAGGATAGTACATTTTCATGACAAAATAATACACAGTAGTAGTAAAAGGTACAAAGTAAGTACTGTTTCCAGGTTATGTAGAAATGATATATTATAATATATGTATTCAAAATAAATACGTAAGGCAAAATTGCCCTCTAGTGTATAATTAGGGAAACCACTATATGAATCTTTTAATGCTTTATACTCTCTTCAAGACCCAAGTTCTCAGCAGTATTAACAATTGTAAAGTATCTTCAGGAACCTGAATAAGTTCTGCTGTTGAGATACATCAAAGAAAGGGAGAAGGATCCAATCATTATAAAATTCCTTTATAAAGACTTGTTGGACATTCACATTTCTTTAGCAATCCAATTACAGAATTGAAAAATGTCTATCTGGCACAATATCAACTAAAGAGCTCTATTATTGGTACTTTCCCTCTCTATTCCTACAATACCCTCAGTAATGACTAATACAAGGTACATTATTACAATGTCTTCAAAATCATCAAGAATGATAAAGACTTTCTAATTGTTTAGGTATTAAATGCATCATAGTATATTATAACCTTTAAAAATTCCCATATAGTATAACCCTATATTAATAAGTATATTTAATGAAATAAAACCCATTTCCTAACCACACTAAATAAGAAAAATAGATTATAATACATACATGGCTCTGGTCAGCAAAGAAATAAAACAAAGATAACATAAAACTTTGCTTGGCAATTACAAATACATATATATAAATATATATCTTTGGCACATTACCATGTCTTTCTTTCTGTATCTACAAAATAAGGATAAGTATCTATCCCATAAGATTGTTGTAAAGATTAAATATTTTAATGCATATAAAGTATATAGAACAGTGCCTGACACACAGTAAATGCTCAATTAAATCGAAGCTATTATATGAGAACAGAAATATACTGACTCCTTTCATCCTCAAAATTTCTGACTTTTAATTCACATATGTATTTGATTTTGGAGTTAAGGCAAATTTTTTCTATTTGTTTTTGAGAAAAGCCAGTGTTGAGTAATTATTAATAGTTCAAAATACCAAAAGGGCTACTGGCCTTTCAAGCACAACTCTATTTTCTCCACTAAAACTGGTCTTGATAAGGTCACTGATCTTTTTGGTCATTATTTTACTATACTATATGGTATATTCAACACACAACCTTTTCGTCAGAGAGGGAGTAAATATGTATTGCAACCTTACCAACAAAGTACCTACCACATGCCATCTGTATTGACATGAAGACAGCTGGATTATATAAAGACTCTGTCTTCTGAATTGGTATCTGTTGTGAGTTTTATCTACATAGTTCAGTTATTAACTCTTCAAAATATAAGAATTTTGTTTTTCATAAACCATCAATAAACATTTTCTTTTTGAGAATCCCATGAAAAGAAAGAATGAATGCAGTACCTTTGTAGCAGGCACTTTGTCTCAGTAAAATCAAAATTTCCTGATGGGATTCAGCCATCAACAGTAGGAGTTTTGTAGCAGTACTTCTTATGACTGGACTGGAAGTTGAAAAAAGCTTGAAAATAACTTCATCTAAAATGGAATGCAGGGCTTTTCCTCCTATTCTGAGTAAATCACCACTAATAGAAAAAAATTTTAAAAAGTACCATTACTAATTGATGCACAGGTATCACAACAAATTTAAAATAAAAGATTCAGTAACCTAATGCTAGACTGTGTCCTGATCCAAGAATATAACCACTTTTAAAAATACATAGGTTGATTCCAAGAATATATCATATTCAGTCACCTAATATTTATTGAATTTCTGCTATGTGCAAGGTACCATGTGTGCTAGGTACAATAGAGAATACAAAGTAGTCAAAGGACCTCTCCTTAGAGAATCCTTCAATCAAATCAAGGAGGAAAGGTAAATGTGCAAAATATTAAATAATAAATAATTCAAAAGCTTCAAGGCAATGATAAAAGTGAAATCAAGACAAGTACACAGTTAATTGTTAAATGAGGTACAAAGACAAAAATGCCATAGGAATTCTATCATGTTCTTAATATAGGAGAAACTTAAATCTTTCCTTGGTATTTCCTTCATTATACTAACATCTCACCTTGCATTACTGATGTCATGGAAAATTATTTAAAACTTAGAATTAGTCAAAAGAATGGGGTTAGTGAGTGTCCTTTCACTTACACCCTTAAGGAGCATGTGATTTTCTAGGCATATGTACCTCTGTTTTATTTTCTACTCACTATTAAAATATTTTACAATTCTGTAAAAATAGAGGTTGGCTGGTAGAAAACAATGCCAAAGATTCCTATCTAAGAACAATGTAAACAGAATCTTATTCAAAGCAATACAAATGATTTCTGTCCAGTAGACAAAGGTAATTCTAAAGGCTACATTGCTTTATAAGACATTAAAGCCATATTTTCCAATTAGCAAATTAAAAAAATATCTACAGCAAATTGATTTCTATGTTTCTTTGACAAAGCAACTCCATAAATCTATTTTCCTCAAATTCTCCTTCGAACCTGTATAGATATCTTACTTGTTCCCTCATTAGTTAATGAGATGAATAAAATTTTGAGCAGTTAAAATTTATATTTGTGTAAGACTCATGTTTGAGCTTTTTGAAAACTCTACTTTAGTAATGACTAAAATAATTTTGTTACGAGAAAAAGTGATCAGCAAGATACCTTAAATGTAAAAATCTTCAGGTTGAAAGACTTTATAAAGTTACCCAATCAAAATATGTGAGAATCTCTGACATTTACTTCTGTGCCACTGTGTCTTTTAAATAGTATTCCCTATGCCTAGGATGCTCACCCTTTCCCATCAGTCAATGTTATCACATCATTCAAAACTCAGATTAAAAAATATGCTCATCTCAGAAAGCCTTCCACAGATATCCCTGTCCCAATCTGGTCACATCTTTACACCATATCCTACCAAGAGTTTGTGAGTTTGTGCTATAACGTTAATATGCTAGTTTAAATGCTTTTAGATGCTCTTCAACTTCCTAATCTTAAAGACATCCTCTCTATACCACTAACTACCATCTTATCTCTCTGCTTCTCTTTTAATCCAAAATTCTCTGTCACCACTACCTCACTTCTCATTTCTCAAACCACTGCATCTGGTTTTCATTTTTTTACTATTTCACTATATTATCTTTGATAAGTTCATTTCATCAGTATAACCTCCAAATGTCAAGTCACATATATATTATATGTGATTATTTTCCTAGACTTGTTTGTATCTGATACTCTTTACCTATTCAGCTTCTGTAATACAAAGTTCTGGTCTCCCCTCTATCTTCCACCCATACTTTTCTGAGCACTCTTTCTCATTTGTCTTTATGGACTCCACTTCCCCAGTATAACACTAAAAGGTTATTCCCCAATACTCTGTTTTCAAGCCATTTCTTTTCTCTCTGTTCATACTTCCTACTGATCTTGTCTTCGTCATGTTTTTCATTACCATGTATAAGCTGATTTGTAAATCTGTAACTCTAGTCCAGATCTCTTGCAGAAGTCAGTTTACTTATTCACCTAATGGACATTTGAATTATTGCTAGTCCTTGGTTATTACAAATAAACCCCAATGGACATTTGTGCGTAAGTCTTTATATAGATACTTTTACTGACTGTTAAACTACCTATACACAACATAACCAACATTGAATTCATCATCTGTCTCACAAAACCAGCTCCTCATATATTCAACATACCACAGTCTGTCTAATCAATATAGAAAGCTTGGTATCATACCTGACTGCACGTTTTATTTTATCTACCTCATATCAAAACATTCACCAAGTCCTCATAATTTTTGTTTTTAATAGCTTTTTAAAAATATAATTGAGGCCGGGCATGGTGGCTCACGCCTGTAATCCCAGCACTTTGGGAGGCCGAGGCGGGTAGATCACAAGGTCAAGAGATCGAGACCATCCTGGTCAACATGGTGAAACCCTGTCTCTACTAAAAATACAAAAAATTATCTGGGCATGGTGGCGCGTGCCTGTAATCCCAGGTACTCAGGAGGCTGAGGCAGAATTGCTTGAACCCAGGAGGTGGAGGTTGCGGTGAACCAAGATCGCGCCATTGTACTCCAGCCTGGGTAACAAAAGTGAAACTCCGTCTCAAAAAAAAAAAAAAAAAAAAAAAATATATATATATATATATATATATAATTGATATATCACAAACTGCACATATGTAAAGCATATACTTTCATCAGTTTGACATGTTTCACCAACATAAAACAAGAAAATGGATATATCCATCACCCCACAAAACTTCCTTGTATTTCACTGTAGTCCCTCTCTTGTTGTCTTCCCTATTATTCTATTCCCAGTTAACAACTGATTTGCTTTCTGAGAAACTTCCCTTCTATTACAATTTTGCTGAAAGGCTTTTTGTTAAAAAAAATTAAAATCAGTAGATGACAGATTTTGTCAGAAGCTTTTTCTGTATCTACTGTTATGTTTTTTTTTTTCATTTTTAGCTTGTTAACATAAGTTACAATGATTGACTTTAGAATATGAAACCAGCCCTAAATCCCAGGATAAACCAGACTTATTAATGATGTATTAACTTTTTAATATATTGTTGCATTTGACATTAAAATTTTGTTCAGAACATTTATATCTACGTTTATGAGTATACTGATGAGTAGTTTTCTTTTCTTATATCTTTGCTTTGTTTTGGTATCAGGACAATGGTGACCTCATAGAATGAGTTGAAAAGTATTTCCTCCTTTTTGATTTTCTAGAAAAGTTTGCTTAAGATTATTATTTCTTCCTGAAGTGCCTAATAGAATTTACTAGTGAAGAAGCTATCCAGACTTGGAGTTCTCTTTGTGGGAGAGTTTTTAGCTACAAATTGAAGTTTTCTTTATAGCTATCTAGAGTATATTTGGGTTATCTATTGCTTGAGTAAATTTTGGTAGTTTGTGTCTTTCAATAAATTTGTCCATTTAATCTAAGTTGTTGAATTTGAGAGCATAAAGTTTTTCATATTATTCCCTTGTGATATTTTTAGTATCTGTAGACTCTTGTGATGTTACCTCTCTAATTCCTGAGACTGGTCATTGTATTCTTTCTTTTCCTTTCTGTATTAATCTTGCTACAGGTTTCTTCTTTTCAAAGAACCAGTTTATGGTTTAATTTGTTTTCTCAAAGAACTTCAATCTTCTCAAAGAACCAGTGTATGGTTTCTCTGTCACTTTCTTACTATTTTACTGACTTCTTCTCAAACTTTACTATTTTCTTTCTTCTGCTTAGAGTTTAATTCCCCTTTTTCCCCCTACTTTATTAGAGGGGAAAGCTGAGGTCAATGATTTGAGATTTTTCTTCGTTTCTAATACATAGACATTAGTGATATAAAATTTCCCCTAAGTGTTATTCTGATTTCATTAAGAATTTCCCCAGAAATTATCACGCTGTGTTTTTGTTTCCATTCACTTAAATATAATGCCTAAGTTCACTTTTCATTTCTTCTTTGTCTTATGAGTTATTTGGATGAATGTTATTATTTCCCACATATCTGGGGACTTTATAGAGATCTTTTTGGTACCAATTTCCAACTTAACTCCATCGAGGCCAGAGAACATACTTTGTATAACTGAAATCCTTTTACATTTCTTTTTTCTTTTTTTTTTGAGGCACAATCTCACTCTGTCACCCAGGCTGGGGTGCAATGACATGATCTCAACTCACTTCAATCTCTGCCTCCTGGGCTCAAGTGATTCTCCCACCTCAGCATCCCAAGTAGCTGGGACTAGAGGCACGTGCCAACATGCCTGGCTAATTTTTATACTTTTTGTAGAGCTGGGGTTTTGCCATGTTGCTTAAACTGGTCTCAAACTCCTGGACTTAAACAATCTGCTCACCTCGGCCTCCCAAACTGCTGAGATTACAGGAGTGAGTCACCGTGCCCGGCCTCCTTTATGTTTCTTGGGACTTTATTTATGGCCCAGAATATGCATCCTTCTCTGTAAATGTTCCATATGCATTTGAAAAGAAGATGTATTCTGCTACTGTTTGGTAGAATGTTTTTAAAATGTCAATTAGGTCAAATTGGTTGATATTACTGTTCAAATCTTCTGTGGACATACTAATTTTTTGTCTACTTACTCTATTAATTATCAAAAGAGGCATATTAACATCTTTTGCTTTAATTGAGGATTTATTTCTCCTTGCAGTTCTTGTCAATTTTTGTTAGTATATCTTAAAACTTTATTAGGTCAATAAACACATCCTCTTGATGAACTGACTTTCTTATGATTATGAAATAACCTTCTTTAGCACTAGTAATATTCTTTGTTCTGTAACTTAATCTGATACTAATACAGGTACTTCAACTTTCTGTAGTATACGCATGGTGTATCTTGTTCCACCCCATTACTTTTAACCTATTTGTGTCTTTATATTTAAGGTGCATTTCTGGTAGACAGCATGTAGTAGGCTTGTACTTTTTAAATCCAATCTGTCAATCTGTCTTTTAACTTTAGTTTTTCAACATTTATATCTAATATAGATAGGTTCAAATCTACCACTGGGCTTTGTTTCTCCTTTGTTCTTTTTTTCACTGTCTTCTTCTGGATTGCCTATTTTTTAATGATTCATTTTTATTGCCTTTGTTGGCTTATCAGCTGTAAATTCTTTGTTTTGCTATTTTCTTCATTGCTTTGAGGCTCAAAGTATGTATCAATGTATCACAGTCTCATCACTTATCACAGTGATAATATACCACGTCATGTATAGTATAAGAGCCTCACATCAGTATGCTTCCATTTATCTCCTCCCAGCCTTCATGCCTTTGTTGGAATACATTCTACTTCTGCATGTTTCTCAAATACATTATTATTTTTGTATAGGCAAATATAGATATATTAAAATAATATAAGAAAAACAATCTTATATGTTTAAGTAATCGCCATTTCTGATACTCTTTATTTCTTTATGTAGATCAATTTTCCTTCTGGCAGAAGGACTTCCTTAAATATTTCTTGTAGTGTCGGTCTGCTGGCGATTTCTGAAGAAGTATTTCATCTTTGCTTTTGAATACTTTTCTGCTGAGTATAAAATTCTAGTTTGACAGTTTTCTTTTTTAGTATTCAACTGTCTTTTTACTTGTGTTGCTTCTGATAAGAAAGTTGCTGTCATCTTTATCTCTATTTCTCTATATAATGTTTTTTCATTTCTGGTTGCTTTTAAGATTTTCTCTTTGTCACTGGTTTGAGCATTTTGATTATGATGTGCCTCCATGTGGAATTTTCTTCATATTTATTGTCCTTGGGGTTTGATGACCATTTTGAATCTCTAAGTTTACAGTTTTCATCAAATTTGGTAAATGTTCAGCTTCAAACTTTTTTTCTGACCCTACTGCCTACTTTGCATACTCTGATTACACCTATGTAAGGTTGCTCAAAGTTGTCCCACAGTTCACTGATATGCTTTTCTTTCCTTTTCTTCTTTCTTTTTTGTTTCATTTTGGATAGTTTCTACTAAGAGGCCTTAAAGTTCACTAATCTGCAGTGTTAATCTGCTGTTAATCCCATCCAGTGTATTTTTCATCTCAGATATTGTAGATTTCATCTCTAGAAGTTCACATTGAGTCTTATATGTCTCTGTTAAACTTTTTGAATATATGGAATATGGTTATAATAACTGGTATCCTTGTCTGTTAATTCCAACATATGTATCAGTCTTGATTAACTAATTCTTCTTATTTTAGATTCTGTTTTCTTATTTATTTGCATGCCCAGTACTTCTTTACAGGCAAGATACTGTGAATTTTATCTTATTGTGGCTGATCAGAAAAAAAAAAAAAAAAAATCAGTGCCAGCAAAATGAAATCACCTGTTGAATTGTAGTATATTTTGTAGCACAGTCATAACTGTAGAATCTATCAGTTTGATAGAAATAGTCATTTTGTAGTAACAAAGAAAAAGAAAAAACAAGTCATCAAAGCAAATATTCTGTGATGACAAAAGTGAGATTTTTCTCATCTTTTTTAAAGCCAAATGAAAGCATAACCATTTCTAGTGAACTTCCTACCTTTGAATAACCTACAATAAAAAAAGATTTTCAAATAAAGGCAGGTTCAATAACCATATGCAGTTAAGTTACTTGGAAACAGTCTGACCCTTTTGGGTCTTGCTTTTATGATCTGAAATAGTGCTCATTCTAATGCTAATTATTCCTGGGTAAAACCTTCCTGAACATTGTATCCAATGACCCACTCTTTATCAGCCACCGTTTAAGCTTTCCAGTTTGGCTGCTAGAAACAGGCACTATTTCTGGCCCTGTGTGAGCTCCTTGCACTGTTCGTATTAATCCTTTGGGATTATTGTTTTCCCTGGCATTGGGTAGTTCCTTACATGTATGTGCAGATCAGTACTCTACTTAATACTTGAAGGATACCCTCTGCAGATCTCTGGGGTTCTCTGTGTGTATAGGTCTCTTCTTTAGTATTCTGTATTGTGAACTCTAGCCATCTTGTTCTCTCCAGATTCTGAGATCGCTTCAATTCAAGTTGGCTGGGATGCCTCTACATATACTTTAACCTGGAAACTCTCTCAATACTGATACAGCAATTCTAAGATTCACCTCGTTTATTCCTTTTTCTCTGGGCTGACTTTCTTTCACTGACTGATGTCCCGTTACTCAAAAAATTATGTTTCATGTTTTTGTCCTTTTTTTCATCCCACTATTCCATCTTGATCAGAAGTGGAAGTAAAGTCCTGATAATTATATATAATTCATTATTTTAAAAACTTCATTTCCCAGGTACCAATGCCCAAGGACAAGATTTCATTACTTCACTTGGATTAGTATGATTGCCTTTTTTGTCTAGAGTTTTCTTCCCCTTAATCTTTCCTTCGTATAATCACCAGAGTGACAAAACTGAAATGTAATCTGACTACTTTCATCTACTTTAAAAATCTTCAATGGTCCCGTGGCCTATAGGATAAGACTTCGTTTACTTAACACAGCATATAAATTCATGACTTTGAATCTCAACTGAGCTTGCTAGCCACCTCCCTATACGGAACTTTAAATCCTAACAATGAATTTGTACCTACTTTTCATCCTCAGCATGTTGTTTCTTATCTCTGTGCTTTTGCTTATGTTGCCTGGAAATACTGCTTTCTCTTACTCCTTTTCCTCCCTGGCCAATATATCATCTTTGAAGTTTCATCTCAGATATTACCTTCTCCAGGAACCATCTCCCCTCAGTTTGGGATAGAAGATCCTTTAACATTTATGCTCACCCTTAACATTGTAACTTAATGTATTATGATATAATGATGTTTGTGTGTCTGTCTTTTCCATTCTATTGTAAGCTCTTTGACAAGGTTTATAACTTAATCAACTCTATAACTGCAATGACAGACATAGCAGCTGCATAATAAATTCATAGTAAACTAAAAGAATGAATTATTTCAATTGTGTATACTCTGCCCTTCCATTTTAATCTGAATAATTGTCAGTTGCTTCTTTTACACCCTTCTTGACCATCTATAAAAATATCAATCTTGAAGCTTATTAAATAAATGTGATTAAACATTTTTTGTTGTGATCTCAATATTTTTCTTCAGATATCGCACTAATTCTCTTTTTTAAGGCTGAGATTTGCGCTAAAACCTTCTTAAGCTCTTGGATAAGGTATCAATTTGATAATAAATTTCCAGTCTTTTGTAGTATATCAATTTTTTTTCTGAAAGACAATGGTGAGGGAGCTTAAGCATTATATACAAATCACATACAATCAATTTTAGCAAAATTGGAATAAAATTGGTAATGTTTCTGATTAAAAAAATAAAAAAATCAGTAACATTTTATAAATCCATGTCACCTGTTGATCTGTAGTATATTCTGTAGCACCGTCAAGACTGCAGATCCTATTTGGACATTGTCAGCTTGCAGTAAGTGTAAGAAATGATCACTTCGTAGTACTAAAGGAAAAGAAAAAAAAAAGAAAGATTAACACAAAAATTTTATGATAACAAAGGAAGGTTTTGTTCTTTTCAAACCAAATCAAAGTAGACCATTTCTGCTAAACTTTCTGACTTTGTATACTCTACCATAAAGGAGATTTTAAGATGTAAAATTCATGGTAATTTTAAATAGACATAAATAAATCATTCCATTTTTATGAATATAGTCAGAGAACAGGCATAAATACTAAGCTAAAGTCTATTGTTATCTCTCTTTAAATCAAAAATAACATATCCTAAATCTGAATCTATTTTCCTACCAATGAATTTCAGTGAATAAAAACAAATTTCTTGCAAAGACAGACTATCAGGGGATGGAAATGGCACAGATGACTATAACTGGTTGCTTATATCCTTAAAAAATTTAATTTTGTGACACATTGTTTTATATAATAATGAATACATCAACTACAAAAATTTCCTTTTATTGATTTGTAATCTTTAAGCTCTAAGCAGTCAGTTATAATGATTTAGCATTGGATACTTACACAAGTTGCTTAACCTCTTAGAAACTATTTCTTCATTTCTTCATTTGTAAAACTAGAAATAATAGCTCTCAACATGAACTAATGTAAAATGTCCTAGAACAGGGAATGTTTCTAATAAATGTCAGTTTCCATTCCACTGTATGTTCAATAACTGAGCATAACTACCAAAGGTATTAGTTATACTAACTGAAAGTAGTTGCCTTTGGAAAATGGGAAATGGAATGGGCATAAGGGCCAGGGATTGTCTGTGTGTTTTAATCATCCTTACGGGACTACTTGACTCTCTAAATTATGTGCATGCATGATTCTAAGGAGAAAAGCTCCAAGTAAAATTTCAGTTCAAGTATTACTTAAAAAAATTCTTATAGTGTTGCATCTATATTAGATGAAATTTTTCAAGAGAGTAGAAAGAGTGCCATCAATGTCACTAAGAATTATTTTCTCAGTCTTAAGAAAACACAATACAGAACTTATATATGTTTCTGTTTCTCAATGTAAACAAAAATATCCTATAACTTCCAAGTTCGCTAAAAGGTCATTACATAAAAGCTTACACTTATTTGGATAATTAGGCTATATTAGTTAAATCATATCCACCCTGAATGTAGGGATTTCTCTCACAGTAGGTCTAAAATACTGCAATCTTTTAAGCTTAAAAGTTATTTTCAGGAATAAACTATTCAAATTATAATTTATCTTTATCTTAGATTTGCTAAACAGAAAAAGCTATTGTCGATGTTGGCTGTGTAAAACTGGAACATCCATTCTAAAAAAAAATGTAAGCTTATTTCAACATGGTTTCATTTCAGTGTGGTTATCTATATATTTAATGTGGCATTTATTTTTGGAAAAAAAGATCAAACCGTTAGCAGTTGACTCTACAATAGCTATTAGTTACATTAACATCTTTTCTCTTACCATTCTGAATAAGTTCAACATGGCCTCCCACAAGCCAGAAGAGAGAATCATTCACAATTTGGAAAAAGTGTAGTAATTCATCTTTTTCTTCAGCCTTAACATAAAAGATAAGCCCAGTTTACTTTTCTATCATTTTTTTTTTTTTAAGAAGACTTCTCTCTGGGGAGTTAGAGGATACAGTTTCTGGATCTAACTTAGCTATTTATGAGGAACATGATTTTGTTGCCTTTAGTTTCTTAATTGTAAAACTTATGGTTACAGGATAGTAATATCTATTAGAAATGGTTGTTATCCAGATAAAATAAAGCCATGTAAGTAGTGTAAGGACTACAAGTTGATACAATAGGATTTCTGAATACTTGCTATGCATCAGAATCACCTGTTGAGCTTTTTAAATACATCTATGAACAAACTTCAGGTCAAATGTACTGAATTTGAATCTCCAAAGGCAAAGGCTGGATATCTGTATTTGCACAAAGTTAGGTGGCTGATTTGGTTATGCAACCAGGATGAAAACAACTGCAATATTCAAATGTAGATGTCAGCATGCGAGGCATTATTGATAGTGTATTTCAGTTCCAGTTTCTACTCATAAGTTTAGGAGGGCAGAGATCATGTCATTTAGCTCCCCACTATAAACTTGGTTTCTAGGACAGTTCTGACACATAGTAAATGTTCAATCAACATTAAGTCAACAAATAAATGACAATTTTTTTCTGGTTCTTCCTTTCTGGAAAGTAGGGTGAGAAATTATTATAAATTAGAGCCACAAGGAGAAATAAGAGGTATAGATTCCATTTATAATTTTGTCATTTATTGGCCATGTAATTTTAGTAGAATGTTAGTTAAAGGTCACTAATCTTATCTACGTCCTGAATGTTTGTACTATAGTAAAAAGGAATGATGAGACCAGCAAATATCTTATGATTGCCATGATTACTCTTTATAATAATGAGAGTATTTTCTTCCTAATATTCTAACACAAAGCTACATAAATATTTAAGTAAAATGACACATGCTGACTTGAATACAACAATTGAAAAAAAAAAACCCTAAGAAAAGTCACAGTAGAAGAATTCTTTTAGTTCAGTAAACTATCTCTGCCAGAGTTTTACCTAAAGATATATCAGAAAGGGCATGGTAATTCTCATTGCTGTCAATGAATCATTTATCTCAATAAAAATACAACAATAAAGAAAGAAAAATATTGTGAAAAGTACTGAAGGACTTTATAAATGAAAGGAATTAAGTGAATAAGTATATTTCTAATGAAAATAACATCCAAATATATGTCTATATAACATATTAATATATAATTTTAATAATATATAAGAAAAAATTATTAATGCTCTTAAATGGGAATATTAAAGGTGATTTGAATAAAAGATAAAGCTTCTATAATGATCTGAGCTATTAAGGAGACAGATTTTACAAACGAGGAAAATGAGATACAGTAAAATCCAGTGATTTACTATAGAACCTAGAGTTAGTTTGTGGCACAACCAACAAGAAAAATCAAATCCAACACAATTCCTATAGTTCATGTGGCTTCAACTAACCTAAATTAAAACTAAATCTAGCAAATTTTATTTAGTGCTAATGTCCCATAAAATGACAGTGGAGATACCAGAAATGGAATTGTAACCGATTATATGGAAAACATATGGTCTACCACTGAGTTAAATTCTCTGCTGGGGGGGAATCTTGCAAGATGCCCAGATGCCCAAATAGGAACAGCTCTGGTCTGCAGCTCCCAGAGAGACCAATGCAGAAGGCAGGTGATTTTTGCATTTCCAACTAAGGCACCTGGTTCATCTCATTGGGACTGCTTAGACAGCAGGGAGCAGAAGCAGAGTGGGGCATCACCTTACCCAGGAAGTGCAAGGAGCCAGGGACCTCCCTCCCCTGGCCAAGGGAAGCCAAGAGGGACTGTGCTATCTGGCCCAGATACTACACTTTCCCATGTTTTTGCAACCTGCAGATGAGAAGATTCCTTGCCTACACCACCAGGGCCCTGGGTTTCAAGCACAAAACTGGGTGGCTGTTTGGGCAGACACTGAGCTAGTTGCAGGTGTTTTGTTTTGTTTTGTTTTGTTTTTTGTACCCCAGTGGCACCTGAAACCCCAGAGAGACAGACCATTACTTCCCTAAAAAGGGAGCTGAAGCCAAGGTCCCACTTCCATGGAGCCCAGCAAGCTAAGAACCACTGGCTTGAAATTCTTGCTGCCAGCACAGCAGTCTGAAGTCAACTGGATTGACTGATCGAGCTTTGTGGAGGAGGGGCATCAGCCATTACTGAGGCTTGTGTAGACAGTTTTCCCCTCACAGGGTTAAGGAAGTCACTGGGAAGTTCAGACTGGGTGGAACTCGCTACAGCATAGCAAACTGACTGTAGCCAGACTACCTCTCTAGATTCCTCCTCACTGGGTAGGGCATCTCTTAAATAAAGGTAAGCAGCCCCAGTCAGGGCCTTATATATAAAGCTGCCATCTCCCTGGGACACAGCACCTAGGGGAAGGGGTGGCTCTGGGGTCAGCTTCAGCAGACTGAAACATTCCTGCCTGCCGGCTCTGAAGAGAGCAGCAAATCTGCCAGCACAGTGCTCAAGTTCTGCTAGGGGACAGAATGCCTCCTCATGTGGGTCCCTGACCCCATGCCTCCTGACTGGGAGACACCTTCTGACTGGGAGACACCTCCATACAGGAGAGCTACAGCTGGCATCAGGCAGGTGCCTCTCTGGGATAAAGCTTCCAGAGGAAGGAGCAGGCAGCAATCTTTGCTGTTCTGCAGCCTCTGCTGGTGATATCCAGGGAAACAGCCTCTGGAGTGGACCTCTAGCAAACTCCAGCAGACCTGAGAAGAGGGGCCTGACTATTAGAAGGAAAACCAGCAAACAGAAAGTAGTAACATCAACATCAACAAAAAGGGCACCCCCACAAAATTCCCATCCAAAGGTCATCAGCATCAAAGATGAAAGGTAGATAAATCCAAAGATAAGGAAAAGCCAGTACAAAAATGCTGAAAAAATTCTAAAAACCAGGATGCCTCTTCTTCAAATGATTGCAATTCCTCTCTAGCAAGGGCACAAAACTGGATGGAGAATGAGTTTAATGAAATGACAGAAGTAGGCTTCAAAAGGTGGGTAATAACAAATTTCTCTGAGCTAAAGGATCATGTCCTAATCCAAAGCAAGGAAGCTAAGAAGCTTTATGAAAGGTTACAGGAGGGAGGAGGGGGGTGGGGAGTATATCTCATAAAAATTATTTTTTAAAAAAAGATTACGGAAAATGCTAACTAGAATAACCAGTTTACACAGAAACATAAATTACTTGATGGAGCTGAAAAATATCGCATGAGAACTTCATAAAGCATACACAAGTATCAATAGCTGAATTGATCAAGTGGAAGAAAGAATATAAGAGATTGAAGATCAACTTAATGAAATAAAGCATGAAGGTAAGATTAGAGAAAAAAGAATGGGTCCATTGGCAAGATGGCCAAATAGGAAAACTCTAATCAGCAGCTCCCAGCAAGATTGACACAGAAGATGGGTGGTTCCTGCATTTCCAACTGAGGTACCCGGTTCATCTCACTGGGACTGGTTGAACAATGGATACCACCCATGGAGGGTGAGCTGAAGCAGCATGGGGCGTTGCCTCACCCGGGAGGCGCAAGGGGTCAGGGGATTTCTCCTAGCTAAGGGAAGCTATGACAGACTGTACCAGGAAGAACAATGCATTCCGGCCCAAATACTGTGCTTTTCCCATGGTCTTCACAACCAGCAGACCAGGAGATCCCCTCCAGTTTCTACGCCACCAGGACCCTGGATTCCAAGCACAAAACTGGGTGGCCATTTGGGCAGGAGTTTTTTTTTTTTTCATACCCCAGTGGCACGTGGAATGCCAGTGAGACAGAAACTTCACTCCCCTGGAAGGGTGGCTGAAGCCAGGGAGCCAAGTGGTTTGGTTCAAGGGGAGGGACAGCATTAGGAGAAATAACTAATGTGTACAGGGCTTAAAACCCAAGTGATAGGTTGACGGGTGCAGTAAACCACAATGGCACATGTATACTATGTAACAAAGCTGCACATTCAGCACATGTATCACAGAACTTAAAGTATAATAAAAAAGAAAAAAAAATATCTGCCAACAGTATTTCTTATATTCAAAACAGCATGTTGTCTATATTATCACACCTTTCATTCAATTTCATTCTTCTAATTTAAAATTAAATTTTATTAAACTAAAAATACATCTATTTTAGGTTTTCTATTAGAAATAGCTAAGCTCTTCTCTAGTTTATCTGCCTGGGAATTCCTTAAAAGTAAGACTGTGTCTATTCTTTATATACTCAAAGTGCCTTAAATAGAACTTAATATAACATGGTGATCACTATGGACTGTTTGTTGCCCAAAAACTTTTGGTATTTCTTTGAAATATGGTGAATATACTCGGAGCAGATCTCTACTTGGAGGCTAAATTTTCATTAGAAATACTTGATGTGTATGTAGATTTTGTAAAACTTAGAGTTGTAAAGGCAGATTCATATAATCAAGTTGTTCCAAACACACTTGTTTCCTAACAGAATTCATCATCAATTTTTAAATTTAAAATAATTAAAATTAAATAAAATTTTCAATTCCTCAGTATAAAGGCACATTTCAAGTGCTCAACTGATCCACAGGGTTAATGGCTACCATATTATACTGTGCAGAACAGACCATGAGGCCATGTACCAGACATCACTACTTAAATTATTTAAATGGCAGTTAGAGCATCTAGCAAATTCATCTCTTCAAAATGAAAAATATTTATAAAAAAATTAAAAATGACCTCTATGTCTTTTCCTGCAGTTTTCTTCATCCATCTAGCATGTTGAGCTATAATTCCTCAATTTGCCCAAATAAATTGCATCTGTGTCAGATATCCCTAAGGCTCTGAACACAGTCTTCAGATGTTATCTCTACAGCACATCCTTAGGAAAGTTCATCCTCTAGCATGCTCCTCTTCAAAGTTTTAAGTAGCATTCATAAGAGGACTTTCCAACCTATAGTCATACTCCTGACCTCTCAATCAAACTTCAATTCCATACTAG